GTGAGAGACTCCATTGTACAAAATAATATGTGTGTCACCGAGGTGTTTTTGGCTTTAAGGAACTAAGACTGTGTCTAGTGAGCTTAGGCCAAAAATGGAAATGAATTGAGTCAGAAACAGAGAAAAAATTAAAAATGTAAGGCCTTAGGAAGGTCAACAACCAGGGTGGCTCCAGGGATCTCTATGGTAAAAACTCATGGAAAGTCTGTTTAGGGTACTAGAGTTGACAAAGTCCTTCTACCTTGTGTGACTCTACTCAGGTTTTACATCCTAAGAGAGAAAGGCTGATTGAAAGCGTGGGCTGGAAGTCTTCCCTGGGCCAGTTGCGGTGGGGAGGAATTTTAACATAGCATAGTCTTGATCATGTGCTTACTCTTTGTTGTAGTAGACCTCTCAGGACTCCATGGAATAGAAACCCTTAGAAAGAACAGGGTACTGTTAACCAAAACAGGTATCCATTACACTAGCAGGACTTGAGTAAATCTCAGAAGAATCAGGTAGTAGGATAAAATAACTAACCTACTGTATTAGTTTACTAAAGCTGCCATAATAAACTATGTAGACTGGGTGTTTAAAGAACAGGAATTTATTTTCACAATTCTAGAGGCTGGAAGTCCAAGTAAGGCCTTTCTCCTTGGCTTAAAGATGGTTGTTGTCGAGGTGCCTGGGTGGCTCAGTCGGTTGAGCGTCCAACTTTGGCTCAGGTCACGATCTTTTAGTTTGTGGGTTTGAACCCCATGTGGCGCTCTGTGCTGTCAGCTCAGAGCCTGGAGCCTGCTTCAGATTCTGTGTCTCCCTCTCTCTCTGTCCCTCCCCTGCTTGTACTCTGTCTCTCTGTCTGTCTCTGAAAAACATAAATAAACATTAAAAAAAAAAAAAGATAGTTGTTGTCCTCCAGTGTCTTCACAAGGTATTGCTTCGATGTGTGTGTCCTTATCTCTTCTTTTTATAAGGACAATAGCCATATTGGATTAGGGCCCACCCACATGACCTCATTTTTACTTCAATAACCATTTTAGACCCTAGCTTCAAATAGAGTCATGTTCTGAGATCCTGGGGGTTAGGACTTCAACATATGAAGGGGTGGGTGGGGGGATATAGTTCAGGTCATTATACCTACCTAGTAAGTTACAGGTTAAATGACAGTGTATTTAACTGGCCAGCATTGTCTTCAATCAATGGTATCTAATGTTGTTACCTAGTTTACAACATTTGTGTTGATGCCAAGGAGTCAGGTATCATTTTGTGTGAATTATGTTAATATATATGTGTACATATGTGTGCTCTGTGTCTAGGTATATATAGAATATATATATATATGTACATATAGAATATATATACATATACACATGTATATATACACATATATACATATACACATATACATATGTGTATATACACATACATATATATGTGTATATATATATACATATATATGTATATATATATATACATATATATGTATATATATATACACATATATATGTATATATATATATACACATATATATATATGTATATATATATATATACACATATATATATATTTGGTATGTAGCATTAGGTACAAATACCCCCTGGGTAGAGAAGACAAACATCATTTCCTGTTTTGGCAAACTATGGCCTCTCTTGTTCTTAGAGAATTCATAATCCTTCATCCACCACTCAAAATAGCTATTGTTTGACACTCTGGTTCTAGGAAAGGCCCACACAGAGGTGACAGCAAGTAAAGCAAACCAAGGGTAAAACCTAAAATAGGAATTATTTTGTAACATATCTTTACTGGCTTTTCTTACAAATTCCTATAGTTCTTACGGTTTTTCAGGGGGTGGGTAGGTGGAGAGATTGTGTTTTAGATAAGTCCGTACATTTGCTTAAGGAAATCCTTTGTGTACAAGATTTGTTGTTTCTTAGATTTCTGACATTCAATAGCAAGTTATTTTTCTGTGTATTAAAAACTAGTAAACCTTATCTTTTAAAACCCTTACACATAAGATATGGATATCTGCTCATTGTAAAAATGTAACAATATACGGAACTATACAGAGGAAAAAGCCAACATCTCTCTTCACGTTTTCCCTCTCTTTCTCCATCCCATTCTCCTCTTGAATGGCAGGCATGGTTAGAGTTTGGTTTGCATCCTTCCTGACTTTTTACAAAATTCTTCTCATAATCATATAAGGACATGCAAAGAGTTTGGGGATATTTTAACTTTGACAGAAACAGAATTATAGATATTGTTCTAAAGCTTTCCTTTCTTCATCTAAAAAATGTTGCTATTTTGGGTGGAATTTTAATGCTAAACCCCACCACTGATCCACCTTCTCTCCAGGACTTTTTTTTCTGAGTTGGAGATGATGATGATGATGATGATGATGATGATGATGATGATTACCTAAGCCCACTATAATTAACATTCAACGTTATATTAGTTCCAGGTGTGGTCTCAAGGACTCTTGACTAAGAAACAATACCTCAGTCGGGGAGGGGAGGAAGAGGGGAGCAAATTACAGTTAATGACTTCTTTTTTTTTTTTTCAATGTTTATTTATTTTTGGGACAGAGAGAGACAGAGCATGAACAGGGGAGGGGCAGAGAGAGAGGGAGACACAGAATCGGAAACAGGCTCCAGGCTCTGAGCCATCAGCCCAGAGCCCGACGCGGGGCTCGAACTCACGGACCGCGAGATCGTGACCTGAGCTAAAGTCGGACGCTTAACCGACTGCACCACCCAGGCGCCCTACAATTAATGACTTCTAAAACAGGATAGCTGGGCAAGTGCCCCTATCTTTAGAAGGAAGTTTGCCTTATGTAGTGACAGTGGTCTGTGAGGGAGAGACCAAGAAGTCTAAGCAGGGCTTTTTGCTCCCTGCTTCCTGTCTCAGTCCTGTTACCTAGCTGGTCCATGGATACGCATGGCTGGCCTGTGCCTGAGCCAGGCTCTGCTCTGTGAACTGACAGCATAGGAGCAGGAAGCGATAGAAAGCCAGTGGAAGTCTTCTAGCTTTTTAAGAGTAGTAGCCCTGCCACCAGTAAAATTTGATCCAGGAATGAGGCCGATGACACTAACAATTCGTCCTCTCCTGAGACACAGAAGAGTGGCTGGGAAGCAGGTGGAGAGGTGGCTTGGGAGCATGGCAGAGGAGTGTGCCCTGTCCCGTGGGCTGCCATGGAAATATGAGCAGAATGATAGTGATTTCTTCTCCAGCAAACAAAGCTTGGAGACCTTACCATTTCAGCACACAGAGACTAAAATCATTTTTTTTTTTTAAATTTTTTTTTCAACGTTTATTTATTTTTGGGACCGAGAGAGACAGAGCATGAACGGGGGAGGGGCAGAGAGAGAGGGAGACACAGAATCAGAAACAGGCTCCAGGCTCCGAGCCATCAGCCCAGAGCCCGACGCGGGGCTCGAACTCACGAGCGCGAGATCGTGACCTGGCTGAAGTCGGACGCTTAACCGACTGCGCCACCCAGGCGCCCCGAGACTAAAATCATTTTAAAGGTGCCATTTTTTCCCCTAATAAATTTACGTAGGATTTTAGAGTTTTAAAAACTTTCATCATTTTCCCCTTGTTTCAGCATCACAACAATTTTGTGTAGTATCAAACAATTTTTGTTTGGTAGAGATGAGAATAAAGCCTTAAGGGGGGTCCAGGTGTTTGTGAATTCAAGATCTCTGGTCGCCTGGTTCCCTCTCCACTAGAACATGCTGCTTCCTGTTAAATGCTGGTTTATGTTTAAATTGGACAGGAAAAACTTAGGTACCACTTAAGTTATTTGTTAATAAGAACTGCTTTTCTGAAAGTCCTAATTTTACCTCTCTTATAAATCTGATTCAACAAGTGTTTATTGAAAACTATTATTGACCTATTTCTTTTGTATTAGTTTTTATTTTGGATTCCCAGCATCTGAACCCATCCCTCTGTTCAGGATGATTTTCTACCTTATTAATGTGGTTGGGGGTGGCATTTGCCTGTAATTATAGAACTGAAACTGACACTCGTGTATCCATCCTCCCTTGCAGCTAAGATATGTCTGTGTGATCTAGGCTTGGCTAATTTTTTTGCACCCACCTTGACTTTCAGTCAGCAGCTAGTGGCCCAAGAAGTAAGGGCAGAAAATCCTCTCAGCTGGCCGGTGGTTGCCATGGAAGTTTTAGTATCCAGTCTTCAAGGGCAGTTAGGGACACGGGGGCAGTGAGACCCAGTGGAGCTTAGCACATTCCCTGCTCTACTTGATAGTGGTAGTGTGTCCTCTGGTGTCCAGCATCTAGCAGTGGTGGTGCCTTGTCCCCATGGAACTACTTTGGGCTGTGATTCTCAGTGTGGACTTGCTTTTTAATAATTTTTGCTCAGTTTCTAGGTCTGGTTCTCTAATATTGCAGTGATAAAAATATGAGCTGTTAAGTAACTTCATTTTTTAAATTCATATGCAACAAATTCACTCTTCATGGTAGACATTTCTCTGGATTCTGACGTGTGAAGTATGGACTCACCACCACAGTCATGCTATCGAACAGTTCCATCATGCCTCAGATTCCTCATACCACTTCTTTGTAGTTACTCTTCATCTACCCCAAGCCCTAATCTGTCTTCTATTCCTAGGGTTTTGTCTTTTCCAGAATCATAGACTATTACCCAATAACCTTTTGACAGTATTTAATTATTATATTAATAACCCTTAAAATAAATACTAATGCATTTTATTTTCTGCTTATACAGTAATGGCTTAAATTTATTGGGTATTTAATATTTGCTTTGTTCTCTTCTTACTGAGCATTTTATCTGAATAAACTCATTCAATCCTCACTACAGTTCTAATAGGTAGATTCTCTTATTATCCCCATTTTACATATGAAAAAGCTGAAGCACACAGAGGTTAAGGAACGAGTCCAAGGCCATAGAGTAATAAATGGCAGAGTCAGGATTCAAACCCAGGGAGCTTGGTGCTAGACATAAGTTTTTAACCTCTATCTATACCATCTTGTAAATCTTTCAGAATTGGTTTCCGATGTTTGCAACTATGACCTTAAATGACAGAACTGGTGAGTAGAAGGCTCAAACTATACACTCTCATGGATGTTACCATTGGGTTGTAGAGACACACATTACTGAAATAATTCCATCAATGAATCATAATTACAAATGTAGGTAAGTCAAGGAAAGGATCACATTGTTTAGCGTCCATCACAAACAAATCTGATCAAGACTTGGGGATCATGGAAGGGTTCTCTGAGAAAGTGATACTTTAATAGATTTGAGTGAGTTACTAGATCAAGACTGTGTGGGAGCCTGTGGAGCATGTAATTGGAGCCTTCTAGAGGAAGCCTCAGGTACCAAGGTCCTGAAGCAGAGGGCAAGATGGCTGTTCTGACTGGAGCATGGAGGGTGAGGGGATCCCCAATGCTAGCCAAGGTAGGTGATATTAGAAGTAAGCAGGTGGTCAAACCATGTAGGGCCTTATAGGCCACGTCAAATACTGGTGAGGCTTTGTCTCCCTCTAGTTCTAGATAATAATGAAGAGCCTTTACTCACCCATGCAACAAGAATATAAAACAGAGGACAATGTGCATAAAGGACTATGCTTTGTTTTCTCATAGAGCAGGACTCATGGTACGCCCAGCATCCCTTGCATGTTGCCTGGAAGGTATTCCTGGACCACTTGCCTTACCTCAGGAGGTTTCTTGGAATAGATTGGAATTCACTGATGCGTATTGGAGCACTGTGAGGCTGGCTTCCGGTTATTGTTAGGACTGACATGGCTACAGAATTTCTCCAAACCTCATATCTGCAAACTGCAGGGTGTGCAATACCTTGTACTTGGTGTCCTTAAGTGATTGGTAGTATCTCAATAAGCACAAGAGAGTTAGCAAATAGGCCCAATCTCTTCTCTCTGCAGGCTTCACAGACCCAGACTCTAATGAACCATGGCAGCGTCAGAGTGCAGCAGCATTTTACAGATAAGGGCACCTGACACAAAAAGACCAGGTAACTTGGTCAGAGTTGCAAAAATCATTCGAAGAGCCACAACTAATTGTCATGTTTTCTGACCTCCAAACCACTTGACATGTGTTTTGACACATATATTTCCCAAACAGATTGACAAAAATCATTGTTTAAATGGCTTAATTTGATAATGCTGGCTGATGCATTGCTATTTGATAGAAAGTAGATTTAGCTATCCAAGAAACACACAGTTGACTTTCTTCCAGGTGCTGCAAGTACATTTTTAGTAAACTAATTTAAAAATCAGTAACAGAAGGCCTATGATGAACATTTTTTTGCTTTTTTTTTTTTGTCAGTTTACATTTGACTAACCTTTTATAACACCCAAATGTATGGGCATAATAAGTTGGTGCTGAGAGGAAAACTTTATGAACTTCTGAGGACCATAAAGCAGTTAGAAAATAAGTTAATATTCTGAAGTGCATTAATTAATACTTTTGACTACCCTGACCAGTTAAGATCCTCAGAGACATAAACCCCAATTTTGAATCCAATTAAAATGATCTCCATTACTAAATTAACCCATGTACATTCAGATCTTGATATAAAATGACATAGTCTCAAGACACCAATTAATTAATCAAACATGCAAAAATATGTCAAGAAAATTATTAATCCTTCTATTCTGATGTCAGATCTCAAAGGTCTTCAAACTTCTTGTATATTAGAAGTATTATATACTATGTCAATTCTTCTTCTCTTTATTTAAAAGATGACACTGAAAAAACATTTCACCATATGTTTGTTTTAGATGCAGTGAAAAAATGTTCTTTTCGAAACATATGGTGATGTAATTAGGTGTCTCTGAACACAGCAAGGTTGGAAAGAGAAATGTATGAAAGAAATTGAAACCATTTGCTGCTCTGGTGTCACCCACCACCTTCCCCACCAACATTAGTATCTTCTCCGAGTTATCATTGTTGTAATAAAGAAAAATTTTAAGCACTTGAAGATGAGGAATGTCTGCTGTCACCTACCATGGTTATAGCAGATAGAATTCCAGGACTGCCTCTTCTTCCCTCTCACTGTGCAAAGCTATGTGACTCATGCTGTCAGTACCTCTTGCTGAGGAGTTTTGGCATTAATCCAGCATCATTGACATTTGTGTAATGTTTTGCAGCCGGGAGTCTGCTTTTATCTATGGCTTAGCTACCTTTATGCAGGCTCGTGGGATTTATTTCTACTAATGGGGAGAGGCCTTGTGTTTCTTTTTCTTCAATAAAAATGTTTGTTTAAAAATATTTCTTCCTTTTCTGAGGTACTCAATGTCTGAAGAAAGAAAAAAGTTTGAAATTGGGCTCTATATGATATAATGATAAGGACATTGGTTATTTGTTATGAAAAATTTAAATAAAAAAATTCATGTAACACAATCTGGGTAACAAAACATCATGGTTTCAGATGGTTTTGGGTGTGAACATGTGTACTGTTTTTTCTTTATTTTTCCATCTCATTAGAATGTACACATGTTTACCAGTGTCTTGAGCAGTAGCATTTGTCACATTTGAAATAAATTCATGAATATATTTGAATACTTAACCTTTCATTTTAGGACATCAGTGCCTTATACTTCACTGATAACCAGAGTCTGGATTCTTTTCCTTAATTTTCTTTTTTTATTCTTTAATGTGCCTGACTGGAATGAATAATATGTGTTTATCTTAGGCATATGTTGTTTTCAGCCAAATTCATTGCTAACTGATATGGTAAGTTTCACTAATTTTAAGTCCTATTTTTATATCATTTATAGTGAGTTTTGGTTAACAAGTAAAACTGTCAGCAAACAAATGTGGATTGTGCAGCAATATACATAGGGTATAGATGTTATTGAGAGTGATGACTCATGATTGTTCAATGAATTATTTGCCTTTCTTCTTTGGTGATACTTTCTGTTGGTGAATATTGAGGAAATGAATCATTTTGTCTAGCTCTCTCAGCACAGTGACTTCCTAATAAACTTGTTTTTGTTTTTACCTTGCATCAGGAGAACAGTACCTCCTGAGGTGAAATTCCATAATGAGCCAAATCTTCTTCCTTAGTGGTTTGCAAACTTTAGCGGATACCGTAATCACCTGGAGGCTTGTTAAAATACAGATGGCTGGGCCTCGTCCCTAGAGTTTTTGGTTCAGTAGGTCCGGAATGGGGCTGCATCATTTGCACATCAAATCAGCTCCCTGGTGATGATAATGTTTTGGCCTGGGAACCACATTTCGAGAACCACTCCTACGGAGCAACTGGAGTGCATGTCCTTTGGTCAATCATCTCTGTGTCCCACTGGAGACGGTGCAGTGTTCTACTGTTTGTTGAGACAGGCTCCAATCAGCTCTAGGTCGTTTCAATTCTATTTTGCCACATAGTTTGGCCACTTACCTTAGTTAACTTGTTCCCTTAACACTGAACTTTTCTTTTAGACCCTCCCACTGCCAACTGGGTCATCAAAGGTCTTTATTCTCTCCATGTTGCATGGTTGGTAAAAAAACGAAAAACAAAAAAACAAAAACATAGCTCCCTTTTCTTTAATATGCCTGAAGACAGGCACCCCGGTCCTTTTCTCTTTATGAGTTTTCAAGTAATCATTTTGGAAAAAAAGAGTTCAATGAGATAAATAAACTGGACAGTTTTCCAAAGTTTGCAAATTGTCCCAGCAGTAATCTCTGATATATAACTCCAAACTTCCTTTAAGGTGGTCGCTGGAAGCCTCAGTGAGACTTTTTCTTGGGTTTTGTTCTGAAGGATGGAGCTCAGCAAAGGTAAAATACCCTTCTGATCTAGCCATGTGATGCCTTTCCTTCATGAGACCTCTTCAAGGAGGAGAAATAGTACCTCCTTGATTTAAGTAAAAAATGTAAATATGTATCTTTGATGACATCTTTGTCTGGGCCTTACTTGAAAATTATTATCCATTTAATATTATGTCTCTGAAGGGTAATCAGTTATTTTGTTCTTTGAAATAATGTAATGAGTGGTAAATATGACTTTAGAGCTAGTCAGATTTGGATTGAGTCTTGGTTTTGTATTTTATTAGCTGTGTGACCTTCCATATATCACATAAACTGGCCGAGCCTTCCATGATATGGAATCATGGCATCTACTTTCTTCCTTGTGCTGATGGGGTCAAAGTCCACTGCTCTTTTCAGAGAAGGCAGAAACTGGAGCAGAGAAAAATGAGCATTTCTTCACTTGTAAATTGGGAATGATAATAGCTACCTTGCATAGATATTTACTATAACTTTCTTCTAAATAGACAATCTGACAGTCTCAGATTTGGATGAGATCTCAGATGAACCTTCTCTCTGTTACTGCTTCAGCTATTATTTATTGAGTACTTGCTATATGCTGGCCACTGTGCACTCTTTAGTCTACAGCATGTTGACCCTCTGACTAAACACCTATGGGGCAGACTACTCACTACTGTAGACCAGTCTCCAGTACCTTTTCAGATTACTTTTTTTTTTAACTTAGAGAGAGAGAGAGAGAGAGAGAGAGAGAGAGAGAGAGAGAGAGAAAGAGGCAGAGAGAAAAGGAGAGAGAAAGAGAATCCCAAGCAGACTCTACACTATCAGCGCAAAACCCGATGTGGGGCTTGAACTCATGAACCATGAGATCATCACCTGAGCCAAAGTCAAGAGTCAGATGCGTAACTGACTGGCCACCCAGGCACCCCTCAGTTTACTTTAATGGTTAGAAATTTGTTTCATAATTAGTAAAATCTACATCTCTATTAACTTCCACCACTGAACCATTATGTATTAATCTAGAAAGCAACACAAAGCTCATGTTGTCAGTATGTGGCAGTTATTATGAGGTAATTTCTTTAGAAGTTTGAAATAAAATTTATCCTTTAAGAGTTAAAATTTAAGAACAATACAAAAGAGGATATTTCAGATATGTACATAGCCACCTTAAAAGTGTGATTGGTTCCAGGCCTACAAACTGGACTCTATCCAAGAGGTTGCAAACTTAACAGCTCCAGAGAGCTAGACAGTTAAAAACATACAGACAAAAAAACATCTCAAGTCCTATAAAAGGTGTAAATTTTGTAGCACCATCAATTGAAGTTATTATTTAGCTGGGTATTGGGTCTAAGTCGCATTGATAGCAGGAGTATACTCTCCTCAGGTAAACTAGATTACATTGTCTATGTAAGAAAATCAGTCCTTGATGATGTTTTGGGTTGAATTGTGTCCCCACAAAGATGTTCAAGTCTTTACCCCCAGTATCCGTGAATGTGACTTGATTTGGAAGTAGAGTCTTTGCAGATGTGATCAAGTTAAGATGGATTACATTGGGCCCTAATCAAATGACCGATGACCTTGTAAGAAGTTGGAAATTAGGACACAGACACAGAACAATGCCATGTGATTATAGAGGCAGAAATCGGAGTGATTTCTAGGAAGACGTAAGAAAGGATCCTTCCCCAGAACTTTCAGAGAGAGCATGGCTATGCTGCTGCCTTAATTTCTTTTAGCCTCCAGAACTGTGAGACAATAAATTTCTGTTGTTTTCAGTCATCTAAGTTTGTGGTAATTTGTCATGGAAACCCTAGGGAACTGATATGCTTGGTGTTGGAGGTGGTGTGTATGCCTTTAGATAATTCAGGAGGAAATGTATTGCAGCTATTATGTATAGAAAGATTGATATGGAATCATGGCATCTGCTTTCTTCCTTGTGCTGATGGGGTCAAAGTCCACTGCTCTTTTCAGAGAAGGCAGAAACGGGAGCAGAGAAAAATAAGCATTAAAATCAGGCAGAAACTGGAGGTATCAGAGCTCACGGGGCACAGGAAAGGACAGTATTGTGGGACTTTTCATATTTGGGGATAGATAGAAATTCTTCAGGAGGGTATTTGAGACCCTGGACCAGAGCGGAGTCCCAAGTTGAGGCTGAGGGTTGATGAGAAAGTATATGATTCAGAGTTAGAAAGCAAGATAATATCCAATTGGGACACATCTCTAAAAGCTTGTCTTCGTTCCCCTCCCTTAATGTTGTAAGTATACTTTTTTGTTGGATAGAGTATGTCTACTTAGTAAATTTTGAATGCATTTTAGAAAATGTTCTCATTAGTCAATTGCTCAGACCCTCTGTAGAGTTCTATGTGAACTACCAAAAATGGTACCTTTTCCTCAAAACACATGATTTCCATCTGGTCAGATAAATTTCATAATAAATATGCAAATATATTAAATTCACATGAGAGTCAATGTTGTCAGGTTATATGTGGTCACTCTATACGGTGCAATCCATACAATGTGTATAACTGCATTGTGGTTTTACCTGGCATGTTCGGATTACAAGAATATCCGGAAAAGAAAGAGGTTGGTCAGCTTACCTAGCAAACAGAAGAGAGTCACTGAAAAAAACGTTAACATTGTTCATCCAGTCCTTGTTCTGGGGAGTCAGATTTGTGGGTTTATCTGTCCATACTATGCCATGGTCACATCACAACAAGTTACTGTGGCATTGGTTAGCATTTGATTCATACTATAGCTTTTTTATATTGATTACATGCTCACCTGCTAATTGTAATTTGACTTCTATGACTTAGGCTCACTGGGCAGACTGAGTGGCTGGTTCCCTGTGATTGTGGTCTTTTACTAACTGCCTTAAGTTTGCCGTTGGGTACCAATGTTTTGTTACTCTCTTGTTGAAGGGTGGAACTACTCTCTGTCTTTTGACCTGTAGGATTTTGGGGTTGTTGGCAGCATTCATTTCCATGCTGGCTGTTGGACAAGCACTGCTCTCACTTCCTTGTTGTGTGGCCCTCTCTATATGGAAGCTCACAACATGGCCGCTTGCATCTTGGAAGATAGCAAGGGAAAGATTCTCCTATCAGAATGGCCTTAATGGGTTTAAATAATGTGGTCATGTGCATCCCATTATCTTTACCATATTTTATTGGTTAGATGCTTCTAACCAATAGTTACAAGTTACAGGTCCCACCCACACTCAAGATGAGGAGATTTTACAAGGGTGCGAATACCAAGAAGGAGGGATCACAGGGCATGTTTAGAATTTTTGTGCCAAAATTAAGTATATATCTGCTCAAGTACAGTTTATATTTCCTAGGCTTCCTTGTAGCTAGGGTGGCTCTAAGTTTGGGCCAATGGGAGGACAGGAGAAATAATGGGTGGAAGTTCTGTAATCTATTTTAATAAGGAATTTTTTTGTCATCCATTCTGCTCTATCTCCCCCTTCCTGCAAGTGACAGTGTAAATATGGTGGTGTTGACTCTGTCAATGAA